GGGGTTGGGGGTAGTATTTGGGTTTTTTTTTTGACAAGAAAGCAGCAGCAATCTAGCTGTACAATGCCTTGATCACATTGATGAGAAGTATGTCCATCTACTTTATGTGGCTCAATTACACTTGTTACATGGCTCAATTTACTAAACATTCAAACTAAGGAAATGGAAGTATGACCAGCAAGCAGGGATATTGGGCTGTATGCAACAGCCTAAATTAATTTAAGGAGTAATTCTATTGTGAGAGCAATCACAGTTTCTAAAAAGTATGGATTTAAAACATGTTTATTTTAAGGCAGTGTTTAAGATGCACATATCCAATGAAAAACATACCTTTGGACAAGTTGAACAAATTACTAGAAATTAAAACAATGCTGATTTTATGAAAAAAATATTTGCAAATGAGACCTCAGTAAATCACATTAAATGAACGATACCTGAGCAATGTTGTTATCTGCCAAAAGACAATTAAAAGGGAAAAAGATCTAAATAATTTCACATGTTTAATAATCCCACAAAATTAACTGAAACTGCATTCCAGACTCAGATTTTGCTGGATAATATTTGCTACTGAAGTTCTATCGACATATTGGATTTTACTTAGCAAGAAGTTACCTAGACACAGTATTTTCTTTTTATTTTAATTACTCCCAAGCAATAATAAGAGAAGTGTTTTATTCTGGGAGCGTCTACTAGTTCTGAAGTTGACTGTCAGCATTTTCATTAAACCAGCCTATTTTCAGATTAATTATAATTCAGCTATAAAAAAAAAATCTCCTTTCAACTGTGACTGCTTGTAAAAAATACTGCACTAATATCTTTTTAACATTAATACACTCTCCAAATTCCCAGATAAACTCTTTAGGTCCAAGTTAATCATTCAACCAAAAAGGGCTTATAACTATCCTGTAACTCTAATTCTTTTCAATGTCTTGTAAGATGCTTTCCCCAACACACTAAATACTTAACAAAAATACACGTTTCAAATGTTGGAAAACCTTGATCGTATCTCCTTTAGTTATCAATACAAGTTTAATCTAACATTTCTAACTGTATTATGGAAAAAGTAGATATCCATGGTAAATACAAACCTGTGTTCCTACCAACTATTATCCAGTTTCTTGACTAAAGAAATGTATTAACCATCTCCTAGGAGCAGTCACATAAATGTATCTTGTCTCATGCATAATCAAATAAACAAAAGACAAAACTAGTCCAAGATCCTACAGGTTTCTACTTCTATCTGACAATCTCATCATTTTACTAAATAATACTTTATTTCAAAATATTCTCCAAAGACTGTCTGTCTTATGAAGCTACTTTTATGAAGTTACTTGACTTCTCATCCAAATAATTTGGTTAAAAGAAGGGACATTCAATATATTCTACAGAAGATGTTTACCTGGAATTTCTATTTCCAAGTTGTTTTTACAATTGTTCAGCTAATTTAGAAATAAATACACCATCTAGCAGTCATTCTTGAAGAAACGTTTTGTACTTTGCAATCTTCCTTTAAAAACAAGAATATACATAGATTCTTACACGAGACAAATTAAACAACTCTAATCTCTCCTTCATTAAAACACAGGGAGCGGGGGGGGGGCGAAAAAAAACCAACATCATTTTGGGGTATGTTCACCCAAACTAAGAAGTACAAAAACACAATCACTGTACATCTGAACCACAGTCATATTCATTTGAAACACAGATGATATTCATTGAAACCTTAAGAACAGTTTAATCATGCAATGCAAGGAAGTAAAAAAACCCACCTCAGAAAAGCCACCACTTTATGTTGAATGCAAATACATCTTCAGAATAATTTAAGAGACTATTGCTGATACAGTTCAAGTATTTCTTTCCTCTCAGAAGTATTTAAGCGTTCTTATTTCTGTAGCCATTTTTTCATGAAATAATATTCACCTCCAATTTCATTTACTGGCTCATTTCTAGCTACAACACTTACACTGATTTTATTCATTTCTTTAATAGTTTATTTCTTGCTGGTATTGTTTCCCTTCCTGTCCCTTTATTTTTCTTACTCTTTGATTCATCCCTAGAAAAGCCCAAGTAAAACACCACTGTGCAGTAAGCAGACAGAAAGCAGTATTCTTATACCATTTTCTTTCAAAAAACTGTAACAGGCTATTTCTTCAAACCAATTTCTCCAACACGTGTGGAGGAGCATTTACATTAAACAGATAATTGCAAGAGTGGAAAAACAAGTGAAAGCTAGTTCTCCATTTAACTTCTCATATCATCTAAGGAACTATCAGAAGATGTTCTTGTGGCTCTATAATGATACTAACGGAACCTACATGGAAGTACATTTGAACATAGGACCATTAGAAAGGAGAAGAAATTGAAGGATTAAAAGAAATAATAATTGAAAGAGGATGATTCATGCCATCTATACTATTTATGACCTATATCCTTCACAAAGAAAAGTCCCTGTAGGATTCAATTACCAAACAATATAGACGAATTTGAATAACTTATCTATCATTAATTGATGTATATCTACTATGGTAGTAAAAGAATTTAAATAGTGCACTCAACATATAAAACTTACAGAGAAGCAAAATCAAATAAGGAACAAACCAGTCATGCTACAAATTCGCAAAAAGATAATTTCTCAAGTGGAAGACTATGATAAAAACGTCCAGACCTTGAACGATTTTGACAAATACATAGACCCATAGGAACTATGCCTTGGATTACTTCAAAACCACATTATTAACAAAACATATAAAAAGCAAAAAAAGAAAAAACCTCAAGGGCACAAGACCAACGAAAAAACTGACAGATTCGATGCAGGAGATTAATGAGATGCCTTTCCTTTTACTACTTATGTTTACACTGTTATTCTTAGCCTATACCTATATATCCTCATTTTTTGGACTTTATTAAGCTAGTTCTGAAATAAGAATAGCAAGTGTTGTCAAATTAATAAATAACCAACACTGTGATATCAGATTTGTTAATAAAATTATTTCTAACAAAAAAAATATCTTTAGATACCATTCTTACCTCTGTTACTTTGGGCTGAAGCCTTAAAACTTCAGGACTCATGCGTGGGATATCTATATGGATCTAATTAGACAGAAAGAAGAATACTGTAAAAGGAACCAACAGCACACTTTGTAAACAACACAATCATTAAAACAATCCTATGGTTTTACAGTATTAGTTATAATCCCATTGTATCACTATTTTTGGGATAACATGGATTTACTGTATTTCAAAACATATGGCCAAATCTTTAAGTCATTGTTAATCTATCAATGAGGCAAAATTTAAGAAAAACCCATACACTTTGTTTTCACATTTTGGGATCCTTATATCACATTTTGATTGCTTGCAAATTATAGTCATATTGGGAATACTCATTACCTCAGGGTAATTATGAGTAAATACATACTACTACTTCTGTAAAGTCATGTTCAGTTGACACTATCATATATACTTCTTACTATTAAAGATCAGGCTTGAAGCTGAAAGAAAGAGTTCAGCTTCTTCTGTCCTAAGGAAGGCTGCAGTAGCATTGCTTAGCCTATACTTAGTGATACAAACTATTCATTTTAATACAAAACCTGAAGAAAAGTTATCTGCTTGTCTTGATTGGGTGGGCAAGAAAGTTTGACACACCTATGTTTATTGCACATCACACAGAGTTTCAACTTTTTAAGCAGAAGTATGAAGCCAGTAAGAAACAGTCTCTGTTATACCTTTCCTGTACCATCCTCACTCATTTGAAGGAGGGTCTGAACAGGAAATGAGAGATTTGAAAACCCTACTATTCTTAAACAGAAAACCACGGCAGCACCGAATGGCAGCGCCACACGGCATGACTAAAGCAGACATTAAAAGAAATCCACTATTTCAAATTTCAGACCAAAATATTTCATATTTTTGCTTCTGAAATGTAGGAAAACAACTGATTAGAGAGCTGTCTGTCAAGTAAGATTACAGAAATTGAAAAAAACAGTAGCAAACTTCAAAAATAATCTCTTAAAATTTTTTAGCAGATGCCCTGTACGTAAAGATCGCTTCAATAGGTGTTCTACCTGTCTATAGGTATCTTGGTGATTTTCATCATTTCTGGAATCATAGTATTGTTCAACAAATGCAAAATACTCTTTGCGTTTCCTTTTTAAAGTGCTTTCTCTTCGGTCCACATTTGCAGGAAGATAGCCCTGAAAAAAACAGTGAAATGAAAAGGATATTACTCTTCGCCTTACAAAAAGCACCGCTGGCATTTGATTACATATGACAGTAAAACTAATAAACTGATGTAGTATCATGCACACCTACACAGATCTGAATAATCCTTTAGTAAATCTGTTTTCTAATCATTCCAACTGATACAAAAGTTCAGATACAAACACCTTACTAAAATCAGCTTTTTTTTTTTTTTTTTTTTTTTTTTTAAGAAAAAGTTTCAAGTTTTTTTACCTTGAAAAAACAATTTCTCATCAGGAATTCTAAGATGATGTTCACCTTCTGAAGAGAAAAGCTCAAGTAAGCAAGTTCAGATAAATGTAATGCTATATGAGTTCATTAATTTCTGCATTCCTATGTGGCCATTATTGGAGCAATTTTATTAAATTTTTAAACAAAATGTGTAGTATCTCAGTTGCCTTCAAGTAGGAATGATATACATTAGCAAATATGTTTAAATTATGGTTAAACTTGTAATACAACGGAGTATTAATTCAAACGCTTTAAAAACATTTAGCTACTTTATTTCACTGTTTCAGGTGAGAAAAAAACAATTTCAAGCTTTCATTTCATCTCAATAGGTTATTAAAAGTTTCATCACAGAAAAAGACTCAACAGCACCAGTGACTGGGCTCTTAGATGTAAGAACACCAGCTATACATTTCCTTAGTTGTTTCCCAAAAGCAATTTATAAATATTATCTTATTTTCCATAAGGTATGGACACACTAAGGAAGTCATGTGTCAGATATGCAGGATTATACATTGTTGCATTAAGTACAAAATATATCTGAATGGTTCTTCACTGAACTCTTACATATATATATATATATATCTATCTCTGAAAATCCCAATCTTGGGGAAAAAAAAAAAATCCATTCTCATTTTCTTCTTTTGTCCAGTTTGATCCCCATTTCTGGCATCTCAGCCTACGTTCCATCTAAAAGGCTCAGGTTACTATTTCAGGATTTTACGAAAGGAAATATCACAAATGTTATTAAATGTTCAGTTTATATATAAAGTACGTTTATTAGAAACACCATTATTCATGTAACTGGCTACCAAAAAGTTTCCTGAACATTCAGAAACAGTTAATGCTTTCTTGTAAGCAGCCTGATTTCAAACAATGAACATCAATATCCCATAACACTGCAAAAAAGAAAGCTAGTTCATATTTTACATACATGGCCTGAAAAAATACTTTGTCTAAAAATCATTCTAAAGATAGATGGCTTTGAAAGTGATCCAGACATCCAAGACAATATAAGAAAAATCTAATAATCGCATTATTCACTAGTCAAGTCAAATTAAAATATTTCTTGCCAATATTACAAAAGCTCTCCTTCCGCAATAACAGCTATCACCATACCAATGGTAATTAGTAAAACAGAGAAATCAAATTTATGTCAGATTTAAGCTCCCTTAAAAAAATCCTCGTAACATCAAAAAATCCTATAGTAGAAGTGCAGCATATATTTGCATTTACACAATGAGCCACAGCCACCACAAGTAAATAATAAAATGCTGTGCATTTAACTACAAAAACAACTATCTTATTCAGGCCTAAACACTACAAGCAAAAATGGAAGGAGTAAACCTAGTATGCTACGATTGCTAATTATACAATAAAATTAAACACTTCAAGAATAAGTATATACATTCCACTACTCTCCTGCAACAATCCAACATCATATGCCATTTCATGTAACTTTTGTTTTGTTCAACATTTAGGGAAAAATAAAAAATACACACCATACTAAAAATTCAATATTTTTTGAAAATATCTCCATATTAAAACCATTTAAAATGTTATTCCCGTATATTTTGATTTCTTAGTTTAAGATGACAACAGAATAAGTACAAACTGTACTACATTCCAGATACCTTAAGAGGTACTTGCTTTGGCAAAACCATGTCTTTTAAGACGTACTGACTTGCGTCTGATTCCAGCTACTTTAAATTGCACCAGCTTAACTTTTGCCTCAAGACTCAGTCTGACATTTAATATCCTGTCCCTGTGTTTTGTATTAAGTTAAATATTGAATTCTGCCTCCCATTTATTCTCAACAGTTGTTTTTTTTTTTTCCTGTAGGATATCTTAGTTCCATTAGAAAAGAATTCATTTGTGAGATCAAATGTGATTGTTCAAAGGATACCAATATTTTCTCAGCAAGTCTTTTTGCCATTATTCAGTTTCAAAGACCAAAGTAATCTTTCAATTGGACATGTCTTGTTTCCTGTTCACTTTACAAATTAGGTTTTATTTTTAAAAGTTGGAAAGGCTTGAGCATATCATCAGGGAATAAATTGGTGGATAGTTTAATCCATTTATTCATTAATTTCCTCCAAAGGCTTTTGCAACCATATCTTTTGTTTTGTTATTCAAAAGAGAAGCGAGCCTGAATAGTTCTGCTTGCTGTTTAGGTACAGTATACCTAACGTTTTTGCTATATTTTAAAAATAATGTAATTTTTTTATATACTATGACCAGTAGACATGCATAACATCAACAGCCCCTGAGCATTATATTGATTTTCATATGCTTTTCCTTTGAAAAACTGTATTCATCAAACACATATTAACATTATTAACCTTCTGACTATGTAATAAATATCTCAACTGTTCAATTTTCTAAATCATATTTTAAAAATTCCAACTTCAATGCTGATTTTACAAACAAGACAATCACCTTGTGCTTCAATACTAGCACTTGTACTCAGTTCCACAAACAAGACATAGTTTGGGCTTTTTAAGTGAGACTTCTGAATAATTCCAAAACAAACACTCCAGCCTTAATTTAGTCTAAACTATGCTTTGGTTTATTTGGTTTCCTGGTCTTTTTTGGTTTTGCAACTGATCTTTAACCAAAAGAGTTTTGCTTTTGTACGCTTATTTCCCAATAGCTCCCAGGGCACCTTATAGCACAAAAGATTATCACATTACCCCATCTTACCTGGGATGTACATTAGCAGTAAGTAACATGTTTAAACAACTAATGTGACTTAAAAATTAATTACCATTAAAAAAAGCATCATGGAGTTTATGACCACAAATACTCAAAACACTTTTGCTTTCTCACTTTGGAAAGAAGATGAAACAAGCTGTTGCCTTACAGTATAGAAAAGTAATGATTACCAAATGACTCATCTTTGAGTTTCCAAATTGTATTAATTGAGGACCACTTAGTAGATAAGAAATCATGGGAAGAATTACATAAGAAAAGCTGAGAACTTTCAAAATATTGCTAATTGGTGACGGGGAAAAAAAAAAAAAAACACCCACAAAACACAGTTTCAGAAGTGTCTTACTCAAAAAATAAAAAAAAAAAATTCCACTTAATTCTTAAAGCAAAAACAAAATAACCTGAAGACAGTTTCTTTGCAGAGGTATGGCAAGACAGCCGAAGATAAGAATTGAACTGGAATGGATCCCTAACTGCAGTGGTTAAAACAACAGAACAAGGGAACTCTACACTTATGAATTTCTCTAGACTGGGAATCTCAGGAATATTAAACTAAAATCAACTTAGGGAATGATGTTGAAGCTCACAGAAAGCCCATGCCATTACTTGAAAGTAAGAAAGTGACTGCAGTTAATTTTTGCATAATTCCAATTCTCTAAATTGCATAATTCCAAATTCTCCTCAGTGTCAGTCCTCTGATTCAGAACTTAACCTATCCTTATGCTTTAGCTTACTGTGTTTCAAAGTGAATTTTGAGTCAGCCATAATTTTTTTACTTTGAGTGTTTTAAAATAGGCATCCAAAACATCAAGAGAAAATGAAAAAAGAAATGCTCTTTTCATCACCAAAATCTCAGACAACAACTTTGGAAACAGAACTAAAATAAATTGTACACTGCATGTTTAATTTCAACTACAGCAGAATATTTAAATATCCACCATTAAGAAGCTACATCTGCATCTAGCATTAGAAGAAACTAAGTGGCAAATTTAGTAGAACTCATCAGCAAGAGAGACTTTTTCAGTCACTGGAAATCAGTCTCTATCTGAAGTAAATACTTTGCATTCTCCGCTGAATTATTCTATAAAAAGTGAAGTTATTTAAGTCTACTCTTTGAAAAATTCAATAGTGTTAAACTGTTGTGTGTATAACTCAGAATTTTAAACAGTTCTTAAATGCATGAAGATTTGCTGATAAAGTGTCTTTCACAGCCTCTGGAGAGTAGACAGCACGAGGTTTTTCCTTCTTTTTAATACAAACATCTTCACAAGCTCTTCTCCCAACCACAGGCAGACAAACAACAGCTAAAATGCACAACTGTTTGCCATTGTAAGTATTAAAGCTGAAAAGATTGACATGAAAAATACTCCCTATGAGGAATACATTGTATTTTTGCAGAACCACCTTTTTAAATATAGCACAAACACAGAGACTAAAAAAAAAAAAATCCAGTTCCGTAACACCAAACCCAGTGAATACCAGATTCCTGCAAGTTTGTCTCTGATGCCCAGCTGAAACACCTCCAAGTGCTGTTCCATGGTATTTCAGTCAACCTACTCCCTAACTACTGCCATTGCAAAATCCTCTGACCACCGGGCAAAGTTCAGAGAGCTCAGCCAGCCAAAAACTCACACTACAAAAAAGTGACTAGCTTTTTAATTAGCTTGTCTCTCTGAACTGACTTACAGCGTCTGACATCAGGAGAGCCAATGCCACAAGGTAACTGACCACAGTGGTTCAGATTTGTTCATCTTAAACCACGATAGAAAAATCGGCCAAAAACCCCCTAAGATCCTATCACAGCGTTTCCTCAGTACAGTGTTAATCCTTTCTTGTAGTTACTTTAATGGGAAGTCAGAATGAAGTGTTTCGTAGGACACTGATAGGCTTTGTTTCCTCTACTGTGTGCCTATTTTCAAGAAAACTGTAAGAGTGTACTTGTCTTTGAACTCTCCACCATTCCATCAAAATTGGTTGAAAGAGGCCACTGTTATCACATAAGCCTTTCTTTCATAGAAAGCCAGGCTGAAAAATAAAGATATACAGCTGAGATGATTTACCACTACTTCTCATTCCCCTCCTTTCAGTTTGACAAATTAATCTTGAAACTGAGCAAAAGAACAGAATTTTCATTACAATTCAGCATCAAGACACAATGTTTTCAAGTATCACTGATGGATTACAACTCAAGCAAAATTATTTGCAATGCTTGAAAAAACTATTACTACTAAATGCAAAGAAAGAAGGAAAAAAAAAAATTACAACTTACTGAAAGAAGCTTCCATGCAACTGGACGAACCCGTTTGGGAATGCCAGACCAACTCAATTTCCGTAATTCTTCTATTAAAGGAGAAGTATTTCATGAGAACTAAGGAAACTATTATCAATTAATATACACAGATATATTCCAATTAGCACAAAGTTGTTTACAGCAATGATCACGTCTTTTTATAAAGTCCAATGAAATTAGAATTATATGGCAATTCTAACGAATTAATAAAATACTGGATAATTCCTATCCATAGGGATACCTATGATAATAGGTACTGAGTGTGATAAGGTAACTTTTTGGAGTATTTCTCAGCATTACTTTTTAGTATACATGCCTTATATTAACATGCAAGAGATACTCAGACTTACTGTATAATATGCTTACACAGATCCTAATTAAAAATGAGATTTGCAGTTACAGAAACAGAATGATGCTTTATGTCTGAATGCTGGAATTTAATCCCATGCCATATTCTCAATCTTTATGTTATACTCCTTTCTCTTGAAAGCTGCTTGTCAGATACCATACCCAGCTAAACCAATCTGTGGGACTTCACACATTTTTTGTGAAAGCTGTTTATCATGTGAAAAAAATTATAGAAAAATCATGGAAAATATAAAGACAAGAGATGCTTAACAGTGTCCCTAAGAAACAATATTTTTTATGAGATACCTACTTGTAGCTCTTTCTCTTCTTACTCTGAGTAGAAAGTGTGGGTTAAAACTACACAAGTTTAAGTTATCAACCTGCTATAGAATACAAAACAACAAACTGCTGCATTTTACTTTGTATATACTTATTCCAATTAATTATATATTTGAATTAACTATGTATATTCCACCAAATTTGGTGTCTATTATATGCATATATTTTCCAAATTCTACAGTTCAACAAAGACTTTAAAAACATTCTGTCTATCTACCCACCCCAAGAAAACGAAGCACAGAGAAAGTAATTAGAGTAAGAACTTTCTGAGTGGATACAACTGACTGACTTTGGCCATTTATAGATGCATAGTCTCATTATTTTTTGTTAAGACAAGGACTCCTATTAGCAACAACTGTCTTCATCCTCCCACGCCCGCCCTCCTTCTACTACTCTGAAAGAAATGTGCATCTATAGTATCAAGAAATACAAATTATCATGTTAGGTGTGGTATGTTATCGTAGAGCAAATTATTTCTAGACACATTGAAAACTATTTTTAACCAGGAATGAAAACACAGTCAACTGAAACCAGTACAATATTTTAAAAAATATATAATATATTCCAAGATTTTAAAAGTGTTTTGATGCTAAATAGTAAATGCAAAAAAAAAATTCTTCATTAGCAATTAAAGTTTCTCAGAGAAGCATCAACTAAAGCAAACAAAAAGCTCTAATAACCCAGAGTTTGCAGTATGAAGTTACCTGATCATTAAGATGCCCTATTTTTACTTTAGATACATGCTAGCAAAAATTATATTTGCAAAATCCATTTTGTCTTAAAATGAGATGACAGCATTAATATGAAGTTAAATAAATCATGGCAAAAAATATTCCAGCTGGATGAGTTGATACTTCCATCTCTTTTTCTTACAGAAAATACAGAGAGAGGAAAATTGGCAGGAGGCAGAAATGAAAGATTGTTATGGTCATAGATAGATGAGTGGTTTCAGGGTGGTCGCTTCAAACCAATCATGACTATTCCAAACAGACATGGGCTTACCAACCATTGTTCAAGTAAGAAAAACTTGACAGTACTGGATACACACACTCAAAAAGTTATGTTTTCCTTCACTTTGAGCAGCAGAGGCTGCACAGAGATCTCTCATAGAATAGTGAGGCTATGTCACCAAAATCCAATCAAAACAGTGACCAGATGCTGCATTGGGATCAAAACACAGCAGAAACTCAGAAAAGCAGAGAAAAAGAACAGATATTAAGAAACAAGACATTAAAAACCCACCATATCGAACTGAATGTGTCTATCACAAGTCTTGAATCCAGTCTAAAGAAAAAAGATTACTTTCTTACAACACCAACGAAACTTCTTCTTTCGTCTATAAGCTTTAAAATACTATTGTATTTTACAAAAGTAAGTTGCATTAATAGAAGCTCTTCTTTTGTACAACATTTCAAACCCCTGAAAAAGCCAAAATACACTGACACAGGGGAAAAATTGGAAAAAAAAAAAATCTCCTAATATGTTTTTGACTTAAAGACACTGTTTGTTCTGTAGTTTTGTTCTTAAATGAACTAATTTATATCTTTCCTATAGAATAAGAAATACAAGGATGTCAAGGTGACACCTTGTTAAAGCTAGAGTACATAAATAAGTCAAGGTTATTTTCTGTCAGTGCAAATTATATTTAGACATGTATTACTGTGTAAGCGTACCGAAACAGCAGAATACCTAACCATTTAGGAAGATCATATTGAGCACGACCAAAGATAAATTCAGTCATATATACCTTGGGCAATCCAAAGACTAGAATACCAAATACTGAAGGAAAAAGTATAAGAACACACCAAATATGAACTGACTTATTTGATTTCCAGCGAACGAAAGATTCCTCAGTCTTGTATTTCCTTGTAATTGTAGCCTATCCATCATGTCTATGACAACAGCAAGTGACAACAGTAAGATTAAATATACTACAGAGTTAATAAGTACACTCACTGTAACTGATTACATTTTATTTTCTTTCTTATTTAGAGTCCATCCCTATCCAACACACTGATCATTTACAGCAAGTATTCTTTGCACAAAAATTGTAATGCCAGTTCTTCCCCTCCCTCTTTATTAATTGGCATAGGCAGATTATTGCCTGCTCTTTAATCTGGAAATAAAAACATACAGTATCAGGCAGAAACAAATTTAAGCTCAGTCCCAACCAGTCCCAACTCCAAAACAAAAAACGCAAGGGAGCTTTGGTCAGGGAAACCCAAACTGGCAGACTGAGAGCCATTTTAGGCTCAGAGAAGATTTAGATATGGCAAGGCACTGAACTCTTTATTTCCCCTTCTTTAAGCACAGAGGTACCTCAGAAGGAGCACCTACTGAGGTACATATGAAATAGTAGCAACAATGATGAATTCACTCTTATACTAAGGTTCCTTGATAGTAGCATGACTGTAAAAACAAAAGAAAACCTAACTAACACTAAATACGCATGGGTGGAAGAAGCACGAAAGCATGCTTATACACGTAACTCCAAGGAATTTGGGGGTATCCCAATAAATTCCTCCCTTATTCTTCATCTCAAGGAGTTGATAGGTACTGGAAGAATATAGGACCGAAAGATCAGTAACATTAAAAAAAAATTATACTACTAGAGCTCAGTGTGAACCGAAGTTTCAAAAAAACCAATGAAAGCAGAACTTGTGCAGACTACAAACACTGATTAAGAGAGAGGGTGAAGTTTAAATTGAACTACATATCACAGGCTGGCACAAAAAATATATTTCATCATGAGTATGCTTTCACTGCAAGCACAAAGGATTCAATAGGAAAGAAATGTAATAAGCAACTGAAATTCTCTTAAATAAGTGACTCGTGAATTTCACTGATACTAAATAGAAAATGGCACCCAGGATAAAAACCGAGGCTTGGGACAGAGATACATTAAGTGCAACGGCAGAGAGACTGGCTGCTGATACACTGAGGACAGAAAACAAAAAGCAGTTCTAAAGTCAAAGAGCTATGGGGTGTCATGAACAATAGAAAAAAGGCACTAACGGATTCTGAAGAAAACCCAAGAATACCTATGACAAAAAAACCCCATGCAAACAGCTCTGCCATGATACACAGCAAGGCTGGGGTACAGAACACAGCTGGACAGGAACAGGCATCATTAAGGAGAGTTTCAAAGAGGAGAAGATGGACACTACTGAAGTGAAAACCAAGAAATAGGAAAAGATGAAAAACAGCCTGCTATTTCAAAACAGAACAAAAGTCTGAGTACATTACTATTTGGAATGGGCTTTTTGGCTCTCGGGGATTGGTTCTTTATAGTGATAGCTTTGAGGGACTGATTTTTCAGGATGGGGAGAGGGAACATGGTGAGCAGCAGAATAAAGGACACACAAATTCGCAAACAGAGAAATTATTATGTTATTGTGGTATTAAGCGATCACCTTTAGAAGATCTTGCTATCTGGCCTTAAATAGTCGTTTATCCAAGAAGTTCAAGCTAAAACAAAATCTTTGCATTCCAAAGAACAGAAACAGCCAGCTTCATAATAGATGTCTGAGATCAAGAATAGTGTTGCAATTAAAAGGCAAATTTGTAAATTCATATACTACAGTTTTAGGTCATAGCAACTTTAGCAATTTTCCTGAAGCAAGCAGAAGATGGATTCATTAATCTGATTTACGTGCAATTCCAATTTTCTAGTCTACAAAGCGGACAAGATACAACTGTAATATTACAAGCTCCCAATGACTGTCAAAAGCAAGAACTACCACCCAGTCTAATAGTATTGGCAGTGAATGACCAGAGGCACCATAAATCAGGTATTTCAATACCCACATGTTGTGGTGGCTCCACAACAGGCCTGGAAGAGGCAGTAAGCCAGTGATAACAGGATTCTTGCTCCACCCACCCAGGCGTCCCCTTGCTAGCCAAGGAAGCCTCCTCCCTTAAGTCCTCCTGGCAGCTGAAGTAGGTTTCACTTGTACCGTATGGTCTTAACAGGTTTAATTTGCTATCAGACTCCAGCTGCGATGATCAAGCTACCCAACAGGTACCCCCAGACAGCACCTGGTCGCGTACCTTACCCTTTCTCCCATTACTTGATCTTCTTTTTCTACCACCCTTCTACCTCCTTTTCTCTGCCCCAAATCAACAAAACACTCCAATTACTTCTTCCCTTAGTAGTCCCAGTTTCGCTGCAACTACCCAAATTTGGTATTTCTGAAATGATTACCTAGGCACTGTTGGTCTTGTGCCACTGCACCTTCCAAAGTGGCCCCAGTGCTCCCCTCCATGCAATGCCACTGTTTGGACATCTCTCACACAATTCCCCCTTTATTACTTGCAAAATCCAAGCATCCCATAGGGTGCTATCTATAACTTCTGTCAGCTT